AGGAGGAGCTGCAAGCTGCAGCCTGAGGGAAGGAGCTCCTTTCCATGGCCTGTGACATGTGAGGGGGAATGACACCCGGGTGGAAGCTGCAGGCCCTGCTGAGCAGGAGGATTCCTGTCTGCTGGCTCTAGGGTGACCAGATGTCCTGATTTTATAGGGACAGTCCTGATTTTTGGGTCTTTTTCTTATATAGGCCCCTATTACCCTCCACCCCGTCCCGATTTTTCACATTTGCTGTCTGGTCACCCTAGCTGGCTCCAGCTGACAGGGCAGAGCCCATGATTTAAACAGCAGCCTGTGAGCTGTCCCCATGGTGCACAGACTGTCCCAGCCCATTACCCTGCTGTCCTGGTCCCTGCAATGAGTGACTGGGGAGCTCCCTGCCCCCCCCCCACAACTCTCACAGGATAATCTCTCCCTTTTGCCTGTTCATTTCCATCCAGCTCCCCCACGCCGCCCTTCAACCGACAGTGGGAGAGTCACGTTGCCTGTGGTTATCTGCATTATCCTGGGGGCCCTGCTCTGCCTGGTCTTAATCATCCTCGGGGTGCAGGTGCGAAGTGCCAGGGCACAGCGCAGAGGTGGGTCCTTATTGGTGTCATTGTGTGAAATGCCTCTGAAATAACAGGGGGGCTGCAGGGTGTCAGGGTGAGGGGTGATACCAGGCTGCGTGGGGTGGACGGGGGTGTCTGGTAACTCCTCTCTCATTTACTATTTTATTAACTGTTTGGCAATTGAACAGCCCAGCCATGAAATCTGGAGATGATACGAGCTAGGGAGTGTCACAGTTTCAGAGAAGCTGCATCTGTATCCCCCCCACCCTCCAGTAATCCATTCCAGGAGTTCCTACTCAGGTATCCAGCCATCACTTGTCTCTGGGTGGGAACCCCCTGTCCCACCTCCTTGTGGCCAGGGGTTTTTAATACTGCACCCCCCCCCGACTTCCACTGTGATACCCCCAGCAAACCAGTCTGCCCACAGGCCAGTCCCCATGCTGTGCTTTCTCCCCAAGGGCTATGAGCAGTGATTTGCCAGCAGTCACAAGTTACCAGCCAGCTCTCTCTCAGCAGCCTGATAGACCACCGTCCGTCCAATGATTCAGTGTTGGGATCCCCGTGGTCAGAAGGTCCTGCCCATTTGCTGAATCAAAATGAAGGCCCTGAGTCTGTTTAAACTCAGCCTTTCATACCAGAAGCCTTTCTTTGTCTCTTGGGCTCTGGTAACCCAGTTTGAACCAGTCTGTATAAACCACCTTGAAGGGTGTTACCTTTCTGGAGTTGTTACAATCTCAGTGATTCACCTTAATCATGCCTCCCCCCCCACCCAGCCACCAACCCCCACTGTTTTTTCTTCCTGAAGGAGCTGTGGTACCCCTCCCAAATGCAGTAGAACATAAACCATTCATAGATTTAATACAGTGATTCCCAAAGATACTGCCTGGGGTTGCAATATCTGTCACAGGGAGGGGTTCTGAATATCATGAGGAGAGACATCATGGAAAAGGAACCTAGAAAAATTGGAAATATTGTCAAGGGAAAAAAATTGTATAAAAATAGAGCTGTGGTAAATAGTTGTGAAGAGAGTGATCCAGTAGAAAAGACAATCTTAGGAAGGAGAAGTGCAGGAAAGGAGCATTATGCTGTATTGTACTGAAAGCTGGCACTTGTAGGGGATTTTACTTCTATAAAACACTCACAAACATTAGCTACCAGCTCCTTGGAAAGAAGGTAGAGAATGGGATTGCCATCAACATACACGTAACATTCACTACTTTGCAGTAAGACAATGACTATAATCAGACCTCATGGTTCAGGGCTTCAGCCAGTCGCCTGCAGGGGTCAGGAAGGAATTCTGGAAAGCCCCCATATTTGTGTTTTGTTTTGCTTTGTTTTGTTTCTTGCCCTTTTCTGAAGCATCAGACATTAGCTACAGAGGGAGCTGTGACACTGGATGGGGTGGACCAGTCCTCTGAGGTGGCTCAGAGAAACCTCTTTCTAAGATATCTGTCTGGTGTGTCTTTTCCACGTGCTCAGGTTCAAACTGATTGTCAGATTTGGGATCAGGAAGGAATTTTCCCCCAGGTCAGATTGGCAAAAAGGGACCTTGGGAGATTTTCATCTTCCTCTGAACCATGGAGCATGGATCGCCTGCCAGGATTATCTAGGCCAGGGGTCGGCAACCTACGGCACGCGTGCCAAAGGTGGCACGCAAGCTAGTTTCTGATGGCACGTGGCGCGGGTTGAGCCGCTCAGCCCACCACCACTCTGAGGTTTCCGCCGCCGGCTCCTGCCAGCCGGGGTCCCACCGCCGGTCCCACTCAGCACCCACTGCTGGCCTGGGAGAAGGAACCCCAGGCTGGCAGCGGGCTGAGACCCCGGCTGGCAGGAGCCGGCAGCTGAAACCCCAGAGCGGGAGTGGGCTGAGCCACTCAGTCGCTGCTCTGGGGTTCTGGCTGCTGGCCTCTTGCCAGCCGGGATCCCCACATCCGCAGCCCCACTCATCTTGCTTCTGGTTGGAGTTCCAGTGCAGGCCCCCTGACAGACAGGGTTCAGGCCTCCGGACCTGCTCAGCCCTACCAGCC